GTGAAAATGACATTTCCTTTTAAAAGATGTTTTGGTTTTTGAGTGGCTCACAGGCTTTTTGAAAAGATTAACCTCAAAAGAGTTTGAGTGCCAATGTTAGTAGGCCTACTTGTATCTGAAAGTTTTCCCTGGTGTTTTCAATAATCTGCAACACTATCAAAAGTAGTGAAATATCCAGTATTTTTTAAACCAAATACCTTGATGTTGAGACGATTGTAGCATATTACAAAACATTTATAAAATAAGATGTTGATAGATAATCATCAGTTGTGTCGATTTATTGACCTTTTCTCACCAAAAACTACATTTGACAAGATTACTTTGAACACATCTTGATAACATTAGAATTGACCTTTTCCCAATATTTATTTGCAGAGTGTGCCTTGAACCAGGGCTGCCAACCCTCACGCAATTACCCATATCTCACGCACTCACGCCACTCACGCCACACATGCCTTTCCTCACGCTAAGTTTTGATCCAAAATAAATGTATAGGCCTATAAATATAAAAATAAAGTGAAGGAACAGCAAACCGAGCGGTCTACGAAATGAGAGTCTTCTGGCTTAGTTCAGTAAAGTTGGAACGATATTGGGAGATTCGGATTTCACGGAACAATAACTCATGAATAAAACGTTGTTCAGACACAAATGACGTCTCCTAGGTACCGTGGTAAGGTTGACAAGGAACTACAATCACATTTTGATAAAAAAAAAAAAGCCAATACGCGCCGTCCTCCGAGCTGGGCACATTACATTGGTCTCTATCCGCAGCCGGAGAAGAAACGAGTGCTCAGGGACCGTCTGCAAAGTGCAACTCCGAAAAAAGAGAATACAATAATATTCAATCACTTCACTATTATACAGCTTATTACTACCAAACTCACTACACACATCAATAGTCTCCTGTGTGTCATACTACCGCAAGGAGTTTGGAAGAATATGCTTTTGAATAATGTTGGGGAATATTTATAATGTAAAATCTTCAATCAATATGGCATCAACTTCAATAACTTTACTATTATACAGTATATTTCTACCAAACTCACTATTTGCATTGTTGTTGTTAGCATCTGGTTAGCTAGCTGCGCTAATGGATATTAGAAGCAGTTTCTAAAACAAGGAGAGGGAGAGCTCTCTCCTGTCAGACTGAGAGGGAGGTTGCATTCAACTAGACACGTTCAAAGCACACTGCAAAATGTCATATTGGGGAAGGCCAGATTCTAAAGTTATCAAGATGTGGTCAATGTTATCTTGTGAGATGTAGTTTTCGATGAGAAAGGGTCATATAATGTTTCAGCGCGGCGGTGCTCAGGGTCTCTTGCAGCGGTTACAAAGGATTGCAACTGGGTTTAATTACTGGGTTTATGATTATGTTACTCATCAAAGATTACACAACACTCAATGACTAACTCAATGTATGTATGATGGACTTTGTTAACTTTATTTCATCTATCCATTGTGCCAGTACTTTCTGATTTATGGGGGGATTAAAAGAGATTTCCAAAACCCCTTCTGTAAAAGCCTTTGACTATAATATGAGAACTTTATCCTATGTTCACATTTATGTTCACTATATTTGAAAGAGTCCCTCTCCCTCTCATGTTCAGGTTCTTATCAGTATATAATGTCTCTACTGGGACATGTCTCTACTGGGACATGTCTCCATGCTTTTGTGTGGGAGAGAAACTCCCTCTGTAGCAGGGGGGTCAAACTCAAATACACAGTGGGCCAAAATAAAAAAATGGGTACTAGTCGAGGGCCGGACTGGTTCAATGTTTATTGCAGAACGTATTGAAATGAACTTATTGCACATATTAAACCTGGAACTAACAAAGCTTCAATGATTGCCTATAAAAACAACATTAAACATTAAATAATCAGTTGCATTCATTTCTTATGGCTCCATCTGCAGCTTTTCCAGAGTCATTTCTTATGAGTACATTTCTCCACAGGCCAACAACAGCTTCAACAAAACTATTTCCCTCAAAGAACAAACCAAACATGCCCTGTTGTCGTGAGAGACAAAGTGCAGAAGGAAACATGTAAACTCAGTGTGCTGCTCTGTGATGCTAGCTCAGATACTTGGCATCTCATCTTGGGTGCAAGGTCATCAATGTTTGGGGTCAGGCTCTGAGCTGAGGAGACCCTCAGGATGGAGTGAAGGTGTGCGTGCAATATGCCAGAGGGCCAGATCTAATAGGAATTAGAAATTATCCTGCGGGCCGAAATTAAATCCACCAAGGGCCGGATTTGGCCCCCGGACCTTGAGTTTGACACATGTGCTCTGGAGGGAACACAGGGATTTTAGCCTTTGCAGACCGTTGCACTAAATGCACTAAAACCTATAAAACACTACAGGAGAGGGAAAACCCCAATAAGCATTATCGGGCGTCTTTAAAAAGATCTGTAAAACATGAATATCTCTAGAGGGAATCTTAAAAAGGACCACTTAAAGCTTGTTGTGGTCATTAGTTTCCTTTAGTGTGAAAAAGACAATTAATCTTTTTTAGATTAGTCGACTTCACAAAAAGGAGGAAAAACGATGTTGTTTTTTGCAGAGACATAATAAAAGAAACAGACTGAGAGATCAGTACAGAGCCAAGTGGATTTATTGTTGAAGATATATTGCATATAAATCATTTAATACACTTTAAAAGAAAGCTCCATGGACTCCTAATATTGCAAACATTTTATAATTGATTATTCTGCAGATTATACTTTGAATAATAATCATTAATGGTGTATAAAATATATTTTTTAAAGTAAAGAATAGCATTTTTTGACATTTGTGCATGAAAAATAACTGTAATTATATCAAAATATCAATTATTTGACCCATTTTCACCAAACATGTTCTCAATCCTCCATGCTCATCACATAAAACAAAGTAAAGCATCAAATCCTTGCAATTAAGTGGCGAGAAAGATATTTTGGATTTATTAAACGTTTTATAAATTACAATCTACTAATATAGTTTTTTTTTTTTTTTTTTTTTGTCAATCAAACTCTGAAGTCATTATGAAACATACTTGTTATTATTGTTTTATTTACTTTGTAATCTTTTATTATAATTAAAATTATTATTATTATTATTTTATTTTTTGTACATTTTTTTTTAATTGTTTTTTTTTTAGTTTATTTTAAAGGGTTAAAAAATAGTTACCCTAGTGTTGCTTTTTTTGCAGGCCCTGGACAGATGTTTCAAAGTCACCCCAAAAAATTAAACATTGAAAACGTTTTTTAACTTAGCATTTTGCTAATTGATGATGTGGAATATCAGAACCGTTAAGACCCAGAAACCCCTGTTTGTGTCCAGCTCTTGCATGATGTTCACATGATGTTCACATGATGTTCACATGATGTTCACATGATGTTCACATGATGTTCACATGATGTTCACATGATATTCACATGATGTTCACATGATATTCACATGATGTTCACATGATGTTCACATGATGTTCACATGATGTTCACATGATGTTCACATGATATTCACATGATGTTCACATGATGTTCACATGATGTTCACATGATATTCACATGATGTTCACATGATGTTCACATGATATTCACATGATGTTCACATGATGTTCACATGATGTTCACATGATATTCACATGGTGTTCACATGATGTTCACATGATGTTCACATGATATTCACATGATGTTCACATGATGTTCACATGATGTTCACATGATGTTCACATGATATTCACATGATGTTCACATGATGTTCACATGATGTTCACATGATGTTCACATGATATTCACATGATGTTCACATGATGTTCACATGATGTTCACATGATATTCACATGATGTTCACATGATGTTCACATGATGTTCACATGATGTTCACATGATATTCACATGATGTTCACATTATATTCACATGATGTTCACATGATGTTCACATGATGTTCACATGATGTTCACATGATGTTCACATGATGTTCACATGATATTCACATGATGTTCACATGATGTTCACATGATGTTCACATGATATTCACATGATGTTCACCATGATGTTCACATGATATTCACATGGTGTTCACATGATGTTCACATGATGTTCACATGATATTCACTGTGTTCACATGATTGTTCACATGATGTTCACATGATGTTCACATGATATTCACATGATGTTCACATGATGTTTCTCATGATGTTCACATGATGTTCACATGATATTACATGATGTTCACATGATGTTCACATGATGTTCACATGATATTCACATGATGTTCACATGATGTTCACATGATGTTCACATGACTGTTCACATGATATTCACATGATGTTCACATTATATTCACATGATTTTCACATGATGTCACATTGATGTTCACATTGATGTTCACATGATGTTCACATGATGATTCACATGATGTTCACATGATGTTCACATGATGTTCACATGATATTTCACATGATATTCACATGATGTTCACATGATATTCACATGATGTTCACATGATATTCACATGATGTTCACATGATGTTCACATGATGTTCACATGATATTCACATGATGTTCACATGATGTTCACATGATGTTCACATGATATTCACATGATGTTCACATGATGTTCACATGATGTTCACATGATGTTCACATGATGTTCACATGATGTTCACATGATATTCACATGATGTTCACATGATATTCACATGATATTCACATTATATTCACATTATATTTACATATCCTTTTGTGCTGCAAAAGTACTTCGCTAAACCTGTGATCACTCTGTCAGCGCTCGCTTTAGTCAGGTGAGCATTTACACATTTAGGCGAGTTACACATTATCTTCCAAGTGGAGCATTTTCTAAATAAATCTTCCTGCCAAGTCTCTGATTTTAAGGTGATACGATTCACTTGTAAAGGAAAGCGTTGCAAACTCAATCAAAATCATTGCACAAAAAATACCCATAAGCAAAACACCAGAATCAATCGATGCTCCTTGAAAGACACAAACACATACATCATCATCATTTATGTTGATCTACAGTCACAGAAACCTTCACTGGTAACACCTTAAGTGGGCGTACAAGCATATTTCCAATGTATGGAACTAGCCTCTCAGTGAAAGTGTGTGTGAAGGTGTGTATGTGTGTGTTAGTGTCAGGATCAGAGAATGACAGCTTTCCTCTGTTCCAGTCCAGATTCACTCTGACCCTCTGGAGCTTCTTCTGGAGGCCGAGAAGAGTTTCTGGACCTGATGGTGACTGTGCTGAGTATTTACCAAATAAAAACTGTATGCTCCATAATCCAGACTCGATGCCTCCCTTCCTCTGGACAGACTCTGCTAACACACCCACTCCCCAGCCATCATTGTCTCCAACGTGGACGTCCCAGCTGTGTGTCCCTGAGTTAAAGCCCTCAGAGCCCAGGACAGATAAGTAGCATTTATCAAACCTCTCTGGATTATCAGGAAGTTCCTGCCTCTCTCCTTGTCTCACAGAGGTCAGATCTTCAGACAGGACGAGGTTTGGATGAGCAGTGTTTGGGTCCAGGATGAGAGGAGAGTAGGACACCATGTCCTTCATCTTGCTCCAGATGTTGAAGCTGAGGTTGCCCAGGTGTTTGGCCTGGTCTATCAGAGCGTCTGAGGGAAGAACCTCCAGCAGGGGGCGCTGCAGCCTCTCCACTGCAGCCTTGTAGTTGTTCAGGAAGGAGACGTCTTCAGCTCTCAGCTCCTCCTCTGTGGCTCTGACTGTGTGTGAAAGAGCTGCTATCTCTCTGCTCACAGCCTCCATCTTCTCCTCCATCATCCTCCTCTTCTGCTCCTCTTCCTCCCTCAGTGCAGCCATCCTGGCCTCCTCTTCCTCTTCTAGAAACTGGTGAAGCTTCTTAAACTGCTCCTTAATCTGCGTCTCTGTGTGTTGAGCCTGGACCTTCAGGTGTCCTGCTGTGTAAGCACACTTCACTTTAACTTCTTTAAAAGTCTCCAACTTGTTCTTCAGAGGCTGCAGAGTTTCCTGAAGCTCCTTCTTGTATTGTCGTGCAGCTTCATCGATGGGTCTGAAACTGTGGTTGGTGTGTTTCTCTGAATCTCTGCAGACGACACACACTGGCTGCTGATGGTCCAGACAGAAGAGTTTGAGTTTCTCAGAGTGCAGACTGCAGAGAGCCTCTGGAGATCTCTGACCTCTCTCCTGTTGGAAACTCTCACACAGGTTCTTTAAAGCAAAGTCAGGAGGACAATCCCTTGAATGTCTTCTCTTACAAAGTGGACACTCTTCGATGACTTTCTCCGTCCACCAGTTCTGCAGACAGTCTCTACAGAAGCTGTGGCTGCAGGACAGGAGGACAGGATCTTTAAAGATGTCATGGCAGACAGTACAGCAGAGATCTTCCTCTAATCTGGAAGCCATGTGGTCTGTGAGTGAAGCAGTAAACTCAGCAGCAGCCGCTACCTGTTCCCTGAGACTTACTTTCACTTTGAGTCTTTGTTCTGGTGAAACTCTCAGTGTGTGAATTCAGCAGCTGCTTGAAGTGGAAGGTATTCAGTATTCCCTCCTGTAGACGTCCTCTCTCAGTGGAATCTTATCCTCAACAACCTGTCAACAACCTGTTTCATGGTTTGTCTCAGGTGAGTCCGGAGAAGGGTCGAGGTCGAAGTTAATCATTACAATTATCAGGTAAGTAACACATTATTTGCAATGTTATCGGCCAGTCTTTGAAGGTCTGGTATCTTATCTATGAAATGTGTGAGGGTCATAAAAAGAGCAGGTTGAAGACCTGAAATGGAACCATTTTACAGCTTTACAGCTATTGTTTTCATAGTGTTTATCACCACTAACCTGCTACAAGAGGCTACCTATTTTTATGACGCTGTATTGTAGTCCCAGTTTAATATGTAACTCAGTTTTATACACATGTAGTAAGGGGTACCCGCTCTGGGATCCTTGGCCTGAGAAAAGACCTCTGCATTAAAATAATGAAACAAAATACACTATATAGTCGAAAATATTGGGACACTCTTAATCATTGAATTCAGGTGTTGGACATAACACAAAGATACATCTGCCTTTTTGTAACTAAATCAAATATAAATGTTTGTCCATGATCCAACCTGCTACCTCGTGCTTGTGAGACAGAACTCCAGCTATATTTCTCCCAGTCAGTTTTATTCCTGCCAAGTAAATGTCATCTTTGTTGTCATTACTATCACTGTTACTAGATCAATATTCTCTTTTCTTCTTTTTCCTTCCTGTTTTTATGCTGCTCCTTTCAAAATTCAGATATTTTTTTCCATACTCAGAAATCAGCTTTTTTCTGAATTCTGACTTTTTATAATTAATTGATTTTCTCATCTTTGTTTTCATTTGATATCTCCTAAATAGCAACTGGCTGTTGTATGGAAGTCTTTGAGGGAATTCTACCTTCTGACGCTTCTGAATTGAATCTTTTGAAAGGAAAATCAATTCACCGAAAACCTAACGGGCGTTTAAATGTAAGGAAAACGAAAAAATCCTGTGTAATAGAAGTTAAATAAATGCAGAAATAAAAACTGGAATATATTCGTAAAGTCTGCCTCTGAAGGCCAGAGTCAGTGAAGCCATGAGATTCCTCAACAGAAAATATAAAAATGGATATAAAATAGAAATAATCTGTTGTTAGCTTTAGTTCTTATTAAAGGTGTATTTATATCAGCAGAGCGTCATGTGACTCTCTTTGTGTCGGAGGGGTCATGTGACCCTGGAGGCTAAAAACAGACCTGAGGTCAGATTACAGGCGCAGGACGCAGCATGGAGGACGCCTGCAGTACAAGGTGAGACTATAAAATACTACAATACTTCTTCTGAATACTACCAACAGTACACACACTGCTGCACACACACACACCAGGCGAGACACCATACTAACACATAGTACTGCGATACTAAGGTTATACTACGACTGAGATGAGACACTATTTAGAAATACTACAAAACTACTCAGTTAATACAGACATACTACTGAATACACACATGTACACACACACAATGTAAGACACGATAGTACTGTAATACCGCTACTGAATACTACCAACACACTGAGTACTAACAATAACACTACTAAATACTTTACCAATAATACTTCTACATTATAGAATACTATCAATAATACTTCTACAATACTAGTGAATACTTAAAACAATACTACAGCAATACTTCTGAATACTACTACAATACTATACTCAACACTACCAACTATACTATTAAATACTACGGAATACTTCTACAATACTGCTGAATACTACTAACAATACTACTGAATACTACTCAATTATACCAATAATACCACTAAATACTACTTAATAGTACCATTAATATTACAAAATGACTACTGAGTACCACTGAAATAATACTTTATACTGCCAATACCACAGAAACACGTCTGAATACTTCTTCAAAATACTTCTTTATATTACAACCATACTACTGAATACTTGAAGAATACGTAGTGTTAAGTTCCAAAGTATAAGAGTATTTTGAATAATATTTTGAGGTAATATTTCCCACAGGATGCTGAGAGGCAGGAAGACGTCATCCTGTCCGAACTCACTGTGACGTCACAGGAAGTGATCAACATCAGGAGGTGATCAACAGGAAGTGGTCAACAGGAAGTGGTCATCATGGTGGTCGTGGCCTGCGGCTCTGTGAGCTCCATCAAAGCTTTGTGGGAAACGAGGATCAAGAGAGTCCAGGAGGAGAAGGAGGACCAGACGAAGAGCCCGAGGAGCAGGTCAGAGAAACTTCTGTTATAATAAACACCTGCATTCTCTCTAATGTCCAGCAGGGGGCGACTCCTCCGATTGTGTAGAAGTCAAAATGTTCCTACTTCTCTCTTGATTTATTACCTCAGTAAACATTTTCCTGATGAGTTTGTGTTTCAACCTGTAGTTTCAAGTCTTCTCCAACACAGCATGATGTCCCTTTAGGAAAAGATGAATTGGCAAAACAGGACATACATTTCTTTAGCTATTCGACTTCACCAGAGCCCAGGTTCAGACTGAGTACTGGTCCCTGATAGTTCATATCAAGTCTGTAACAATCCCTGTTCCTGGTTCAGTCTGAGTCCTGGTCTCTAATGGTTCCTGTTCCTGGTTCTGTCTGAGTCCTGGTCTCTAATGGTTCCTGTTCCTGGTTCAGTCTGAGTCCTGGTCTCTAATGGTTCCTGTTCCTGGTTCTGTCTGAGTCCTGGTCTCTAATGGTTCCTGTTCCTGGTTCTGTCGGAGTCCTGATCTCTAATGGTTCTGTTCCTGGTTCTGTCTGAGTCCTGGTCTCTAATGGTTGCTGTTCCTGGTTCAGACTCAGTGTTGGTGCCTGGGAGGACCGGGCGATTCTGGCCCGGCTGAAGGAGAAACTGCAGACTGAAGAGGGACGGCTGGTCCTCCGGATTGAACAGGAAGACTGGAAGGTAAGTGAACCTGCAGGAGGTCTAAATGGACTCTGTAGGAGGTCTAATTGGACTCTGTAGGAGGTCTAAGTGGTGGTCTCTGCTGTCTCTGATGTCTCTTCATGTTTCAGTCGCTGCCGGGCTGCTTGATCCAGTTCACCCAGGTCCAGGAGTGGCAGATCCACCGGACCGGCCTTCAGAAGATCCCTCAGTTCATCTCCAGCTTCCAGAACCTCATAGTTCTGGATCTGTCCCGAAACGGGATCTCAGAGATCCCCAAACCCATCGGTCAGTACATCCACAAACAATGTTTAGTCTTAGTAACACAGATTCCAGGGGTCTAGACCTGGTTTTGCAGTGAGTCCTGTTGTGTTCTGGTTCTGTCTCAGTGAGTCCTGTTGTGTCCTGGTTCTGTCTCAGTGAGTCCTGTTGGGTTCTGTCTCAGTGAGTCCTGTTGGGTTCTGTCTCAGTGAGTCCTGTTGGGTTCTGTCTCAGTGAGTCCTGTTGGGTTCTGGTTCTGTAGGGCAGCTGACCCGCCTCAAAGAGCTGCTGCTGAGCTACAACAGGATCGAGTCTGTTCCTGAAGAACTGAGCGGCTGTGAGAGTCTGGAGAGGCTGGAGCTGGCCATGAACCGGGACCTAAGCGAGCTGCCAGACCAGGTACTGACCACAGATCAGTTACAGACCAGGTACAGATCAGAGACCAGGTACTGACCTCAGATCAGGTACAGACCTCAGACCAGGTACAGACCTCAGACCAGGTACAGACCTCAGATCACGTACAGACCTCAGATCAGGCACAGACCTCAGATCAGGTACATACCTCAGACCAGGTACAGACCACCACCAAGGTAAGGATAAATAACAGGCTCAGATCAAGTATAGAATAGGAACAGACTGGGTAGACCATCACCTCAGTCCGACTACAGACCAGGTACAGACCAGGTAAAGACCACTACCTCAAGTAAAGACCTCTACCTCAGGTAAAGACTACTACATCAGGTAAAGACCACTACCTCAATCAGACTACAGACCAGGTCCAGACACCCCCCCCCCCCCCCCCCCCCCCCCCCCCCCCCCCCCCTGTCTGACCTCAGGTGTGTTTGACCCTCAGCTGAGGAACCTGAAGAAGCTGAGCCACCTGGACCTCTCCATGAACGCCTTCAGCTTCCTGCCGGACTGCCTGCTCCACATGCCGGCTCTCGAGTGGCTCGACATGGGAGGAAACTGCCTGGAGTGTTTACCTGAGGACATAGACAGGTGAGTCCCTGAGGCCCCGCCCCCTTTCTGCCACCAGCCAATGAACGCTGAACAAGTTATTGCAGAAAATAATCTAACAAACAAACCTTCATGATACTTACAGCTTTAGTTCAGCCGTTTGTATTCACAGTTCCAGCTTCATTATTAAATTAATGTTATAGTTTTTTCTTGTACTTGTAGTTCTAATACCTCAAGTACATTTTCCTAATCCTACTTAAATACTTTTACTTAAAGGGGACCTATCATGCAAAATGCACTTGTGTACGTCTTTTCTACATGAATATGTGTCCCCGGTGTTCCAGGGAACTCACCAAGTGTCAGAAAACACAACCCTCTCTATTTTCCTCCATACCCAAATCTCTAAAAAAGGGGCTGCAACGGATCTGATAAAAACTGATCCAGATTTGAACACTGTCCTGACGTCAGGACGGTGGCGCTACGGCTATTGGGCCAACTCCACCAATCAGGAGGAGACAGCCACGGCCATTGCCGTTCGAAAGCGCTGGAGACGCTGTAGTACATATGCCAGGCCTGTAGGTGGTGCTGTTCTCACAGAATCTGCCCTTGCAGAGCGAAATGAGGCATGGCTAAAATGCATGATCTGTTTGGTATTTTGAAAAGAAAAAAGTATAAATATGCCTTATATAGGTATGGTCCTACACTATATTATTCAAATATAGCATGATAGGTCCACTTTAAAGAGTATCTGGAGTTTCCATCCCGTTTATTGATGAGTGTGTGTGTGCTCAGGATGGAGACGCTGCACACCCTGTGGCTGCAGAGGAACGAGCTGCAGAGACTCCCAGAGAACATCATCCGGATGCAGAACCTGACCACGCTGGTCCTCAGCAGCAACCGACTGTCAGACATCCCCCCGCTGATGGAGGACATGTCCAGACTCCGCTTCGTCAACTTCAGAGACAACCCTCTGAGTCTGGAGGTGACGCTGCCAGACAAGAAGAGGAAGAGCAGCGAGGAGGAGGGGGAGGAGGAGGAGGAAGAGGACAGGGAGTTGTTTGGGAGAGAGTTCATGCAGCTTTACATCCAGGAAGCCAGGAAGAGAGCGCACGCCTTCCTCAACATGCACCGAGCCAACAGCTTGCATCATTCACTTTAATATCTGGTCAAACACAGACTCTGATCTGAGCCAACACTCCACATTACTGAGATCCTTAACCTGTTGTTTTTAAAGAGTTCCTCTTGCTGATGATCAGGTGTATATCAGTATGTAGTGTCTCTACTTTAAAGAGTCCTCTCCTGCTGATGATCAGGTGTATATCAGTATGTAGTGTCTCTACTTTAAAGAGTCCTCTCCTGCTGATGTTCAGGTGTATATCAGTATGTAGTGTCTCTACTTTAAAGAGTCCTCTCCTGCTGATGATCAGGTGTATATCAGTATGTAGTGTCTCTACTTTAAAGAGTCCTCTCCTGCTGATGATCAGGTGTATATCAGTATGTAGTGTCTCTACTTTAAAGAGTCCTCTCCTGCTGATGATCAGGTGTATATCAGTATGTAGTGTCTCTACTTTAAAGAGTCCTCTCCTGCTGATGTTCAGGTGTATATCAGTATGTAGTGTCTCTACTTTAAAGAGTCCTCTCCTGCTGATGATCAGGTGTATATCAGTATGTAGTGTCTCTACTTTAAAGAGTCCTCTCCTGCTGATGTTCAGGTGTATATCAGTATGTAGTGTCTCTACTTTAAAGAGTCCTCTCCTGCTGATGTTCAGGTGTATATCAGTATGTAATGCACCAATAGAACAAACTACAGGAGAGGGAACACCACAGAAAGCAGAATAGGAACTCTTTAATGACTGACTGTTTCCTGTTTGTGTTAGATTTCTAACTTTATGAGTTATTCATTTATAAAACTAAAACTATGAAGTGTGTAACCACAGTGCCTCTTCAGGGACGTTTTTTTAATTTTCTATAATGTTGTATGTCATGGGTGGGCAACAGGCGGCCCGCGGGCCATTGTTGGCCCGCCAGCAATAATATTTGGCCCGTCATTTTGAGAATAAAAAATCAAAAAATATTTTGAGATTTTTTTTTTTTTTTTTTTACAACATCGGACCGACAGTCGCACATATAGGCTATAATGTCCGAATAGAGAATCTACCTACACCTGAAGAATGCTTATTGTACTTTTATCTATGTTGAGAATGAATGACATACAGCACAGGCACAATCAGGCAGCGGGGTGCACTGACGTCAATTAAAGTACTTATTTAAGGGACACCTATCATGCTATATTTAAATGATATATTGTAGGGCCATACCTATAGAAGGTGTATTTATACGTTTCTGTTTTCAAAATACCAAACAGATCATGCATTTTAGCCATGCCTCATTTCGCTCTATTTGCTGTTCTCCAGCCCTGTTTTTGCAGGGGGCTGATTCTGTGAGCTGCAGCTGACCACGCCCCCCTGCAGGAGAGGGGAGCGTGCTCTGATCAAGTCAGAAGAGGGGGAGAAAAAGAGATCTCCGTCCTCCGTGTTTTATTCTTATATTATTATATAGAGTCGTTATTCATTTGTTTTAAAGCTCAATAAATAACAAAGAAGACCTTTGACCGGCACTTTTCTAATTTTGTCCGGAAGATTTAAACTTTAACGGACATCTTGACCGGCGAAAGAAAACCTAACTGAAACTCTGCCGCACGGTCGTTCCTTGGAAGAGGCGGAGAGGCGGAGAGGTGGGTGTTTGTCATCTGCTGGTGGACTAACCGGAGAGAATTACAGTGCTTGCCTCGGGGAGGGAGAACAAAAGCCACAGCGGAGAATAAACAGAAGGGTAACCATGGCAACCATGCGCGGGAAGTCTTCTTCGCTGCTTTTGTGGCAGACTACAGCGCCACTTACAGGCCTGGCATATGTACTACAGTGTCTCCAGCGCTTTCGAGCGGCAATGGCCGGCCGTGGCCCAACCCCACATTCCCCTGATAGGTGGAGAGTTGGCCCAATAGCCGTAGCGCCACCGTCCTGACGTCAGGACAGTGTTCAAATCTGGATCAGTTTTTATCAGATCCATTGCAGCCCCTTTTTTAGAGATTTGGGTATGGAGGAAAATAGAGAGGGTTGTGTTTTCTGACACTTGGTGAGTTCCCTGGAACACCGGGGACACATATTCATGTAGAAAAGACGTACAAAAGTGCATTTTGCATGATAGGTCCCCTTTAACTATTAAATACATTGAGTTGAGTAAAATACTTGGTTACTGATTAATTTAGGTTATAATATATTAAATAAATTGCAAAGCAAAACATGCTGTAATTTATTTATTTTGTATTTTTTAAAGGTTTTCAACCTGAAAGAATCCTAATGTGTCCTTGAAAAGTTGAAATAAAGAAAAGGAAAAAGGATTCCAGTTGTCCATGCGTCCTCTGTTGCCCCTCAAGCCTCTCAAATGTGGGCAAACACTCAAATAAATGCCAAAAACCCAGAGAACTTGACAATACTTATCAGAATAAAAGCATGTTAAATAACACTGCTACCTAGTTAATAACTCACTCAGTGGAGGCTCGTCCATTGAAGAAAGGGAGGACCATCCTCCCTAAAATTTCAGAAGAAAATTAACTTTGAAGAGAACAATAAATGCACCTCAATTTAAAAGATAAGTCTGTTAAAATACAGATAATAGCCCTGACTTTTAACATGGGACTGAAATGGGGCTAGAGACGACGATCCTCCCTTTGGGCGGGTCTATCCAGAGGCTCTGTATTGGGCGCCTATATCATCAGTGAACCAATCAGCGGATCTGACTGGGCATTAGAGTGTTGATGGGGAGGGTTATCAGCGATATCAGAGTTTTTTCTGAACCGGGGAACAGGGGCGCTGCGCCCTCTTACCAAAATCAATTCCTTGAATTAGGCTTTGATTATGTTCTGGCCCGCCATCTTGTGGCTCAGCCAAAAATTGGCCCACGGCCAAACTTACTTGCCTACCCCTGTTGTATGTCCTATATTTACTAAGTGTATGTTCACTCCCATAAAAAGTGTATATTGACGCACATATCTCACACTGTAAGAACAAATAAATATCCCCCTTTGCATTAAAATTGTATTTATTAAATTTGATCATACAAAATCTATTAAAAATGAGAAATAAAAATGGTTAATTAAAGTAAAAACTCTTTAATAAAAACTTAAAAAACGTTTGAAAACATATTTTCATTTAAACTGTAAATAAAAACCCTGATAGTGTCTCCACAGTGAGGCGTTCAGGAGTCTCTACAGTGAGGCGTTCAGGGGACAGCGGTCAGCAGGACGTCTCTACAGTGAGGCGTTCAGGGGACAGCAGTCAGCAGGACGTCTCTCTACAGTGAGGCGTTCAGGGGACAGCAGTCAGCAGGACGTCTCTACAGTGAGGCGTTCAGGGGACAGCGGTCAGCAGGACGTCTCTCTGCAGTGAGGCGTTCAGGGGACAGCGGTCAGCAGCACGTTCTCCAGAGTCACCTGACTGCTAACGTATCGAGTCAGTTTGCTGTTGAATCCTCTCTCCTGCAGGAAGTGGATTCTTCCGGCGTCGATCAGCTGTTTGCAGAGACGCCCGACCTGCTCTCTCTCCTCCACCGATAGAAACCTGCAGAGAAAACATGAAGGGGGGACGGGGGGGGGATGGGGGGTTCAAAAACGGATGAATTTGTTGTTATTTACAGAAAAGTACAGAAGCCCTGAGAGGACAACATAGAGTTGAATTTCAAGTGATGCTTTTTCTACGACTGATCTTAAAGGGCCCATGTCATGGCCATTTCCACTGATCATAATTACATTGTTGAGGTATACTAAAATAGATTTATACTGTGCAATTTTCCAAACTCACATTGGTTTCTCATACAGCATCTCTGTCAAGCATGTGTATTCAGCAGTATTCACTTTCTCCACTAAACGACTCGTTGGAGCTCTTGCCCCCCCCTCCCTGTGAGCCTAGTGTGCTCCGATTGGTCAGCTCGGCCACTCGTTCTGATTAGTCAACCACCAGAGAGGCTGCGCCCATGTCAGTGCTTTTCCCGGCTGCTCTCAGCTGCCCCTTTCACACCGGCGCTTTTCCAGCTCCTGCTGGGAGCTAGAGCCTGAAAAGCGCCGGTTTTTCCTGTTCACACCGCAGCGGCGGCGCGTCATAGCTCCGGAATGCGGTTCACTTCCAGCTCCAAAAAATTGTCGGTCCAGAGGCAAGAGCTTCGGAGCTATGACGCGGCGTCGCTTACGTCGAGGCGTGCAGGAAACCTTACTTTGACCATCCGTTCGCTGTTATTGATCATTGTGGAGATACATGGGCTGCACAGGTTGTCATGTCCGACTATCAGAAGTAGAATCATAATGAAAAATACGCCGGTAAAATGTGCCTATAGAAAACGGCTTAGCAAGTAGTCAGTTTAGCTTCGGTTGCTATGCTAACATCACCCATGTTATACCAGAGAAACTTTCATAACAGCGTTGTGATGCCAAACAGCGTCAATTCAGACTGACACCAAACAGCGTCAATTCAGACTGACACACATTCACTTAAGGGGAACTGGGGATATGTATCAGCTGCTTGTGTGACAGTCAGACAGTGAATACTTTAGAGCCGTGTGAGCTAACCCGGAGCTAACGGGACAATAAACTCCCGTGGAAGTGCAGCCACTGCAGCGGTCGGTAAATGCCGCTGAAACACATTAATAAACAATGAACCACGGCACTCTGGAGAAAAGTATAAGGTTGGAGAAGTCGTTATTTAATTTAATCTGGCTTCGTATGATTAAAAGCAACACGACCCGATGCAGTCCCCGGCCCGTTGTTGTTGTGGGAGAAAATCAGCGACGTAAACTGTGACGTCATGACGCAGCAGCGGCAGCTCTGGGCAGTGTGAACAGAGCGGGAGCTGAAAAGGGAAACGGGAGCTGAACCAGAAAAGCTCTCGCGAGGAGCTAGAAAGTGAAAAGCGCCGGTGTGAAAGCCGCAAGCGTAACATCAGTCTTATCATGGCGTCGGCACAGCCGTATATTTTATATACATATATATTTTTAACTGTTGTTATAGAAGAGTGTGACGGCCCCAGGGCCTTTGTCTTACGATGGGGTGGAGCTGAAGAGGCTAATCAGCACGATCACGGACACCTCCGGACACTACGGCCCCAGTCTCTCTCCAAAGCGGCTGCAGGAAGACTAACTCTGCGATCCTCTCAACCACCTATCTGCATTTACCACAATAAATGTGCCGTGGTTTTGTAAACTCGTGTATGTCTCCTTGTCTTTGTGGCCTACGAGCCGCTCATAACAAAGAGTAAGTTATTTTTACCCGTTATAAACTACTACTGTTTGATGAGAAATCAAATCATGGTTTGCTATATATGAATTCAGGGAAGAAAGGATAGGCCTACTAAGTATTTCCATTAAACTTTATTTTTAGAAATGTACAAAATGAACATAAATATACATATATACACGGTATATCATCCATTCCTCCTCCTCGCATCTTGCCTGCGCACAGTCGGTGCGGTGCCTTTTAGCACGACGCCTCAGTAGTAGTAGAAGTGCCTTTTAGCACGTCATGGATTGTCCGCCAGGATCTGGCTGGACGAAATCAAATGCAAATCACAAAATATTAGAGAAACTTAGTTGTTTTAGATTCGTTAGTAGTAGTTGTGTAATGAACAGCTTGCCTGCTAATATGCTAACCTAGCTTTGTTTACCTTGGTAGCTAACACGATATGAACGTTAGCTTGGAGGAAAGGCAACTATAATGCAGTGTAATAAAACTACTATGAACAAAAGCTAGTGGTTCATATTAGGCTAGCAATAACGTGTTTATAATTGCAATCGTATACGGGTATTCTGCTACCATACAATGTAACTTGCATGAATACATTGTTTTGCGCTAGCATACAGCTAGCCTCGTTAGCTACATGCAGTATATGTACGGTCACAATGTACGGTAAATCACAGTACAGTATACTGTATGAGTATTCCGTGTGTGTGAATGCAGACATTCTCCTGCTATGAGATACATGTATGCAAGGCCATCTGCTGATATTAGAGTTGATATATGGAAACTCTAGCAACTTAGTTAGCACAGTTAGCACTGTGTCAATGGCTTAGCAGTCCAACACAGTTTACACATTTAAACAGTCTTGTTTGATAAATACACAAATAACAATGCAAACTTACAGGTTGTATACCCAGATCTTCCCCTGCTCCAAACGGTCCAAACAAGCTGTGCATATCCGGCCTCAAACTGGGCAATGTTTTGGAAGCTTTCGTCTGTGAAATGCCGGTTCTTCGAACCTCTGGAGGAGGAACACGCCGCTGCTGGTGTGGCCATAGCTCTTCGGGATTGGTCCATTTCGTTCCGGGTACCGCATGACATCAGGCGGTACCCGGAACTAAATGGAAGACTCAAATGGGCAGTGACGTATCTCCAACGAGGCGTTTTGGGGAGGTATTTTCTGTGTTAGAGTTTTACTCGCTACAGGGTGTACTTTGAGGGTTTTGACTCTGCACACCGTTTACATGCATAAAAACCTTCATAACACACAAGGGGACGGGTAATAACCGGAAAAGCATGACATGGGAGCTTTAAGTGTTCTTTACCGTTATTGTTTTTATGAAAGTTCAACATTGCAATAATAACCTTTTGAAATTCCTTCATTTATGTATATTTTATATTTATATTTATGTATATTTTATATTTATATTTATGTATATTTTATATTTATATTTATGTATATTTTATATTTATGTATATTTTATAACAAGTGCAGAAAAAAAACTGTTTTCAGGAGATATTTTTTTGCTATGATGGTTTTTAAAGTATTTAAAAAGCGACTCGTGTTTAGAGCACATTGAGAAGTTAAAAAGCACTTGAACGCTTTGCTATCTAAACAATTAGGGAGTGCTGCCTCTTGTGGTCAAATTGAGTATTACAACAAACACTAAAAAAAGTTACATATTTTTTCAGAAGCTTAAAAAGACTTTCCTGCAAAAACTTTTTCCACATGATCTATAGTCTTAAAGCAGCAGGGAAGAACCTTTATACACAATTCAAAAAATGATCACCAGAATATTTATTGTCTCACTTTCCCTTAATATGTTTCATCTTCACGTCAAATGCATATTTTCTACTTTTTAATTTCTATTTTGATATGTTTCAAATTTTTGAAATGTTTATTTCTACTCTTTTAATTTCTAATGATGTGCAATGCCTTGTTTTTTATGCTGCTGCAACGCAAACATTTCCCAATTTGGGATCAATAAAGTACATCTTATCTAATAGGAACCAAAAATACAGTTACGTTGAAGTTGCACTCAATTGCATTTTGATAAAGTGCCATTTTGAATACAACTTTTTTTTACAGGATTCCCTTCAACATTAACTTCAATGAAAACATTTCTCTGTCTCTTTGCAGCTGTTTTCCATCTAATTGTAGGTCTCTTTAAAGTAGAGACACTACATACTGATATACACCTGAACATCAGCAGGAGAGGACTCTTTAAAGTAGAGACACTAAATACTGATATACACCTGAACATCAGCAGGAGAGGACCCTTTAAAGTAAAGACACTACATACTGATATACACCTGAACATCAGCAGGAGAGGACTCTTTAAAGTAGAGACACTACATACTGATATACACCTGAACATCAGCAGGAGAGGACTCTTTAAAGTAGAGACACTACCTACTGATATACACCTGCACATCAGCAGGAGAGGACTCTTTAAAGTAGAGACACTACATACTGATATACACCTGAACATCAGCAGGAGAGGACTCTTTAAAGTAGAGATACTACACACTGATATACACCTGAACATCAGCAGGAGAGGACTCTTTAAAGTAGAGACACTACATACTGAAATACACCTGAACATCAGCAGGAGAGGACTCTTTAAAGTAGAGACACTACATACTGATATACTGTACACCTGGACATCAGCAGGAGAGGACTCTTTAAAGTAGAGACACTACATACTGATATACACCTGAACATCAGCAGGAGAGGACTCTTTAAAGTAGAGACACTACATACTGATATACACCTGAACATCAGCAGGAGAGGACTCTTTAAAGTAGAGACACTACATACTGATATACACCTGAACATCAGCAGGAGAGGACTCTTTAAAGTAGAGACACTACATACTGATATACACCTGAACATCAGCAGGAGAGGACTCTTTAAAGTAGAGACACTGAATACTGATATACACCTGAACATCAGCAGGAGAGGACTCTTTAAAGTAGAGACACTACATACTGATATACACCTGAACATCAGCAGGAGAGGACTCTTTAAAGTAGAGACACTACATACTGAAATACACCTAAACATCAGCAGGAGAGGACTCTTTAAAGTAGAGACACTACATACTGATATACACCTGAACATCAGCAGGAGAGGACTCTTTAAAGTAGAGACACTACATACTGAAATACACCTGAACATCAGCAGGAGAGGACTCTTTAAAGTAGAGACACTACATACTGATATACACCTGAACATCAGCAGGAGAGGACTCTTTAAAGTAGAGACACTACATACTGATATACACCTGATCATCAGCAGGAGAGGACTCTTTAAAGTAGAGACACTACATACTG